AGGGTAATTATTAAAGGATATACGGTAGATCTGACGTTTACAGAGTTAATTAATGGCCCCGAGATAAATTGGGCTGCGGTGAAGTATATTTCCCGTAATCCTCCTTTCATGTTTTTTTAATAAATTATTTATTTTATAAAAATGTAGCAATAAAATAACAAAACAATTTTTATATTGAAACATGATTCTTTTGTTTTAAAAAATTGTTTTTTTGAAAAAAATTGTTTTTTGAAAGTGAGGTAATGTCTAGAGACATTAAGGCTTTAAAAAATTACTTCCTTATTTTTTGAAATATTATTCAATCAAGTTTTTCTTTCAGATTTGATTTGAAAAATAAAATAATGTTGAAAGAAATTAATTTTGTAATATTCATCTACACAACAAAATTTTTTAAATCCACATTTATTTATTTGTTATTGTTTTCGGTAAGAATTTAAGACATTTTCCAGATTATAATCAAATTAATTTTTACTTTAAATTCTGAATTTTCGGATCTATAGTGCGTAGAAATCGGGTATTTTCAAAAATTTGGATCTGGATTAGGTTAGTAACCTGGACAGGATTCTTGATCTGGATCCAGAAAAAATCCAGGACGATCAAAAATGCCTGGATCAGGACTCTGGATCCAGGAAAATTCCAGACTGGATCCATATCCACACCGATCTCTAATAGTGGGATAAGATTGAAATTTTATTTTAACTTTTATTTTTTTTATTTTTAAATAAATTAATATAAATATTATAGAATTATTCCTTCTCACTTCCACCCATTTCACCTCGCTTTCTTCATTTTACAGTCCAAATCCAACAAGAATGGTTAACTGACACTAATATTAGGTACTAATTTATTTTTATGTATAGCTGTGAAAAAATATTTTTTTTAGAATTTTAGCAGTTTTCGAAAATTTAAATAATGAAAAACCAAAAAATTGGCAAATGGCTATCCAATTATTTGGGCAAAATAAAAATCAAAAAATTCCATTTATTACATTATTAAATATAACTAAAGGAGATAAAATTGAAAATAATTTAATTAATTCTGAAAATATGCCTCCTTGCTTAATTGATAATAAATTGGAAGAAAATATACAAATTGAGGTATTTAAATGTTTAAATTTTTATTTAATTATTGAGGAATATGGGCGAGGATTATATCAATTTCTTGGCAAATCCAGTCCCGAAATATTTAAAATATCCAAAATTTTTAATTCGGATACCGGATCTGGATCAGAGGTGGGTCAGAACAGTCAGAAGTGTCGGAAATCGGAAGAGCCGGAAATTGGAACTGGCTCAAAAGTCGGAACTCGGAAATTGGAAATCAAAAAATTTTTTCGGAAATCGGAAGGAAAAAACGTCGGAAGTCGGAATTCAGACCCACCTCTGATCCAGATAAATATCCTAATATTTCTCAGAATCCCCTAACCTACTCCTTTCTCTCCCCAAAATTTTCCTCAAAAAAATCTTCAATCCCTTTTATTATTTAAAGGTTGAATTGTCACAATTTTTCCTTTACTTACGTGCTAAAAATGCAGAAAAATACGTTTTGCCTGAGGCGCTGTTGGATTCCGCAGAATTACGTGTGTTCTTTGTTCGGATTTTGTATGGCAATAATAAAAATGTTTCGAAGGAGAAAGAAGAAAATGTTTGCCAACTTAAATCGGAGTTAGAATATAAAGAGACTAGTAGGGTTTTAAATATTTTTTGAAGCAAGAAATTTGAACTCTATATAGTTTTTCCTATAGTTTTCCTATGGTTTTTCTATTTTTCGGGACCTATAACTCAGTTCAGAATCATTTTCTAAGGTAGAGAGGGGTGACCGTCGAGACATATGACACGTCCCGAACTTTTACCACCGGTACACTACACTAAATACGGCCCCTCTTTTTAGTGTCCTTTTTGAAGAGGTTTCTTTGTGCTTTTGATGGAACTAACGTATAATAGATCTTTTATCTATTTAATATATCTACAGGGTGCGGCAAATTAAGCGCGCGTTTGTTTTTTGCCATAACTTTCTTCAATTTTAATGAAAATTGATAATTCTTTTTTTGTTTTATTCCCAACACTTTAGGAAACTTGCTGATATCAAATATTAAAAATTTGGTTCACTGTTGGCAAAGATAATCGAGTTCGATCGTCTGGAAAATTTAAAAACATTTTTTATGCCAAAGTTTAATTAATCATAACTTCGTTCAAAATCGTTCAATACCAATGATTTTGGTACTAAACGACTCATCTCGTTCAGGAGCATCGAAATAGCTTATAATCTCATTTTTGAAAATTTTACACAAAAATTTTATTTTTATCAAAATTATTTTAATTTATCATTCAGAGGACCGTATCTCATTCGATTTTTGTCTTAGCCCCATGATTTTTATGTCATTCGAATCAGAATGAAGAGCTGATTCGAATGATATAAACATTTCCAATATTAAAATCTCAGCCTTGAATCTAGGCCAATTTTTATCAAAAAATTCTGCTCAAACTTTGAGGGAAGTTTACTCAGAGTAAACTTAAAATTAAAAAGCAATTTTGGTATCAGCAAGTTTCCTAAAGTGTTGGGAATAAAACAAAAAAAGAATTATCAATTTTCATTAAAATTGAAGAAAGTTATGGCAAAAAACAAACGCGCGCTTAATTTGCCGCACCCTGTATTTAAATTTAATTTCATTAATTATTCCTGATAGAATGAAGTAGATGCAAAAACAATGAGCATCTGAGATATTCCCAATATGGGGGGGGGGGGGGATTTTAACCAACACACCCACAAACATACTAAATAAAAATTCTATTATTGTCTTGTCTTTTCAAAATAATTTTCAATTTAAGGTCGTTTCTCACTTCCTTCAACAACCCCACATCCTATACAAACAATACCCACCACCACCACCATATCAACAACAAAACAACCTCCTCTTCCTCCCCTTCCTGTTGATATTTTCAGTAATTCTATATTATTAAATGAACCTGAAGAAGAGGAATTAAATTTAAATTATCCAACAAAAGGTCCATATAAGAGAACTCGAAGTAAATTACCTAGAAGAAGCACAAAAGCCGCACAAAGTTATTTAAGTGCAGATCATTATGTTCAAAAAAGTAAAAATTCAAAACAATCGAGAAGAATGTTCCCCCCACCTTTACAAACACCTTCTTGGCCTTTAGAAGGAAATAATAACCAAATTACCTCTACTACAACCCCTGCTTATATTGATATTATCAGGGATAGACAACTTTATGAAGAAGTACAGCGGTCAAAGTGAATAATCTTTTTTAGTAAACTCTCTCTATAAGCGACTTTTATTGAACCAAAGAAAACACTTTTAATCTCTCTTCTCTCATTTACACCTCTTCGGATATTATTCAACTCTTGATGTAATGATTAGGGTAGTTTAAAACATGCAAACTTTGGAGTTAGAGTCTCTTTCCTTTTCCTCTCATTTATCTTGTGGTATCCTCAGGCATTTATTTTCCTCACTTAATGTTGGAAAAAGAAAAAGCAAGGGACTCTCCGAAGTTTGCGTGTTTTGGACCACCCTTGTAATGACCTCTCTATATAATCAACTTTAGCGGTCCTTCGGGTTCGTTATATGGAGAGTTAACTGTATCTGAGATAATTAGGAATGAGGACTAGCTTGATAGGAATAGAAAGTCTTAAAAGATTTTAAAAATTAGAGACCATACTTCCCCAAAAAAATCTCAAAGATTACATTATTAATAAGTCGCTTATACAGGGATTGTGAAAATGTATAATTTTAAATAATTTTTTTCTTAAATTTTAGAACGATGGAAATAAATTCTCGTTGGTCACTAACATTTCTTATTTTTGTTGTTCTAATTTCTGTTTTAATTTCAATATCGGCGACATTCGCTCTAATTATGTTTGTTCTTCTCCAATGCAGACCAAAAACAAAGAAAACACTTTTAATTTCTCATTCCTCTTGATTTTTTTTAGAGAAAATAAATTTTTATAAATTTTAAAATATATAAATCGTTTGGGTTAAATTTGAACAATTTATAATTCTTGTGACCCGAGTAACCGTTGCCTATCGCGAGACGTGTGCCGCGAAACTGCGCGGAGCGTAGGATTTCGCACAAGCGTCTTGTAGACTCCCTTGGTTTGGTTGATCAGTTTGAGCTTCATTTGAGCTTGGTGAATAAATGGGACGTTTATAGCTAAAGCAAATAAGTTCCAACTTTGACAAACAAAACTGGGTTGACAAAACTGTATTGTCTCGTATAAGAAAAGCTTTCAAATCAGAGAAATTAAACAAAATTGATGAATTAGAAAAATGATTTTCTTAAAAATTTTTTATGTTATAACAAGGTTTAAGAAAAAGAAAATTTTTGCTCAAAATTTTATCTTTAAAAAATAATTTAAAAAAATTTATCTTTAAAAACGTATTGGTCAATAAAAATTGTTCTGGGCCGATAATATAATCGAATGTAAAATGATAATAATAATTAATAAAGAGATTAAAATCATTTTGATTTAATATTTTACAATGCTTGAATGAGAAAATTCATAAATTCATTGTCATTCATTTCCCAATTTTTTAACCATAAAGTTGTTTATCTTCTAATAAACGAAAAGCAAAGTCTTTATTATTAGTTTTAAAATTATTCCATTCCTTGCTGAGGATAAATGTTCCTCTTTTTGAAGAAAAATAATTGAAACAAGCCTAAAAATAATTTTAAGTTTAATTTTGAAGGGCCCAATTTTCAAGTTACAAATACACAAATAACCTTTTCAAGTTTTGGAAGACGATAAAGTTCAGAATAACGGCATCGTTTGCTAAAGTTTGTAGCATCTTTCATGGAAAAAAAATTAAAAATAAAATTTTAAAATTATTTTATTTCTACCAATATTTGCAGCCATATAATTTTCACAAATTTCCATTAATTGTTTTACTTCGTATTTATGTGCAATAGAAAATAAATCTTCCGAATGTTTTTCAATTGTTTCTTTAAATTGAATAGAAAATCGTCATTTAAGATAGGCTTTTAAAAATTTTGGTTGGCCACTGTGTGTGGGACTGACTAAGAGATACATTCAGAAAAGATGTTGGATTGTGCCCAATTTTGGATTTTTGCTACGTTGTTTAAAATTCTCTTGCGCCCCCCCCCCCACCCACTCCCCCAACGGTGGATACCCCTAATTTTCAAATACTTTTTCAATTCCACGTCCTTATCTATAAGTTAGGTACGACTTAATAAAAAAATACTTTTATCAATTTCTCCACTATAAAAATATTCCAGCATTGCTTTAAAACATTCTGGAGAAGAATCAACAATTTTTATTTTACCCTTAAATTTTATTTTAATTAAAAATTTAAATAATTTATTTTATTTACACTTCGAGCCTCCTTCATATTTTTTTGTTCAAACATTGTTTGGAATACAATACTGTAGTTAGCCAAAATACATTTATGTGCATTTATTTTTACATCTCCAATTTAAAATATAACGTATTTTCTCTAAAATAGCCCCCCTCTCTAAAATAAGTCCCCTCTAGAGGTCGATCGAAAAAATAATCCCCGAGGTTTATTTTAGAGGATTTACAGTATATAAATTTTTATGTTTTCTATTACTCATTTCGAAGATGAAAATGAATTAAAATTAATGAATTAAATTAATATGCTTTAGTCAGTTCAAGATATTGGGTTAATGAACGACTCATTTCTTAATTAATACAAGGAACAAATTTTCTGACACCTCCAAAAAAGTCATAAAAATCGGAAATAATTCCCATTCTTGGTAAAGTTTGGAAATTCATGTAAAATTTGTTGCACAAATTTTATCTTACAGCCCGATGAACCGTTCCGGAACCACGAGAACCATAATATTGTTATTCTTTATCCAATAAACCAGTTCGGACTTAATAGGCCGACAATCAAATTAAAGGGTGTAATATGTAAAAAACTTATCTCAAAAACACAATCAGTAAGTATTCCTTTTTTAAAAATATCTATAAATGAATTCTTTGATGTTAAAGAATTATCAAATTCATTTTCTAATTTTAAATTATAAGGCACAAATTCAACCTCGCAAAAAATCGTTAATGGATCTAAAAATCAAAATTATTTAAAATTTTTTAATTTAACATACTGTTAGCCGTTTTTGGTTTGGTAAATGAATATTTACTTGTTTCTAATTGATTTTTAAAATCCAATGTTGTGTTCCTACATATTTAAAAATGTTATAAATCTTAAATTTTTTAAAGTTGTGTTTCTATCAATTTTCATTTGATTAATCTTCATTACTCTTTCTTTATCTTGGTCCCAATTTAATTTTAAAAATGCCCGGGCAAACATAGTATTATTAATTTATTTTTATCACGTTTTGCTTATTTTAGTTATACTTTGAAAAATATGCAGAATAAAGCATTTTATTTGAAATTTTAACTATTATTTTTTGTTTTTAAAATTATGCCCCTATATTTTTCCCTATTTTTGAGTTGCTATGCCATGTTTTAGTGTTTTTGGAAAGGGTCGCCCTACCGAACAAACCCATTAATTTACAAACTAAAAATGGACATTCTTACCCCCTAATTGATGATTTATTTCCATTATCATCCAATATATAAATATTAAATTTAGCTTTCAATGAATCATTCATGTCTTTGAGCCCTACTTGAACAAGAGAAACAGAATTGCTCGCATAGTAAATAATACTATTGTATTCATAACGATAATTAGTTGTGTAAAGACGTAATTCCCATTTAACAGAAGGGCATTTTGGATTGTAAAATTGCTTGCCTGGATTTTAGTTAAAATTTATTTTTAAATTTAACTTTAGAAAAAGCACAAACTCGTTAAAAATTGGCCATTTTTCAAAAATTGCTCATGTTTATCAAAATTATATACTTTCCATTCCATTTTACAAGTAAGTGAATCCATCTAAATTAATTTAGTACAGAGATGTTATCGAGAAAATGTAAAGTTTAGGTAAAAATGCCATATCTAGAAGTATACGCTCGAAAAATTTTTCCTAATGTATTCTCGCTCAAATCTCTTATGCAACCCTGGATAAAATCCCTGCACATAAATTTTTAAAAATATTTACTTTTGTTACATCCGAAAACATTTTTGTCAAGCCTGTAAAATTTTATGAATATTTAACTTTATTAGCAAAATATCTTTTGAAATGATTGTTGAAAAGTTATCTTTTTTACTAATATTTTTCTAGATTTTTATAAAGCAAAAAAATTATGAAAACTGAAGATAAATTGGAAGTAAATGCAAATACACACAAAATGGTATAATGATATAATGGCCTGAATACCCAGACAAAAGAATAGATTTTTTACATAAATTAAAAAAAGTTTATATGTATTTAATTTATTTTTGTCCTTCCATTTATTTTTTCCATTTCATTACAGCAAAAATCAAATAACTTTGAAAAATAGGGGAATAGTACATGTTTAAAAAAACTAATTTGCTTTTTTGATGATAGAGCTCAAAGGTTAAAATTTTTATATTAAGACTAACGAAGAGAATAAATGAGAAAAAATATTGGATATAGTATAGTATACCGGTGGAAAGGTTTCGATATATGTCCCATACCATTTTCGATTCGTCTCGGCGAGTTGAGTCGAACGGTACCACACTTTTTTCCGGAGATGCCTGTGGGTAATAATTTTACAAATAATTTTATCAATGTTTTGACTAAGGTAGGGTGGTTCCTTGAAATGACGAGATATCCTGAACCGTAACAAATATCCGAATCAAGATTTTAAATAGTACATATTTATTTTTAAATTAATTAATTAAATTCGCAACCAAAACGTCATTAAATAATAAAATTTTAAAATTTATTTTTCATGTTAAAATAAACAAAATTTTCTCATAAATATTTTTTGTATTTTTTAAAAGATAAACAACTTTTTCACACATTGAAGAAACTTCTACATAATTTTCTGCTTCGTAATTATACAGGATGACAAGAAATGTTTGGACATGTTTCCTTCATAAAAAATTTAGACTGAAGAAAGTGTTGCATGACTTGCGAACTGCTTCAGAAGAAGCTTCCGTCCCTGGATCCTAACTTTTTTTCATTTTTTCTGTAAAAAGTTGTACTTTTTTGATCTTGTAAGGCTTGAATCCTAGTTCATTTATGGCCTTCATATAAATCGATTCTCTGAGCAAACAAGTTTCCATGGCGCTTACCCTCATCAAAACACATGTGTTGAGGTATACTCGGAATTTGACCATGTTCACGTTCTTTGGTATGATAAATGATTAAGGTATGGCACTTTTTTTGAAGCCAACAGTCCCCTTACATCTTAAAATTTTTTACTCAATTAATTGCCCCCCCCCCTCAATTAATCCTTTTCTCTTTTCACATGCTATACATATTTATTAAATAAATATATTAAATTTAAAAAAATATTTTCTAAGAATTTATTTGTTAATTTTAAATAAACAAAATTTTCTCACAAATATTTTTTGTATTTTTATAGACATGATAAATAAAATTTTTAAGATTGATAAACAACTTTTTGTACTTTATAATTAAAGAAACTATTTAATAATAAATTATTACTTTTATTAAACAACTTTTAAAATTTAAAAAAATTCAAAAAAATGTCCTTGGATATACTTGATATTTTATTTAAATTAGATTATTTTGTTTGTTTATTAATTGGTTTTCCTTTAAATATTCTTCTGATTGTTTTAATTATTTTTAAAACACCAAAAGAAATGAAAACACACAGTCGAATTCTGATACAAAATTGTGTTCTGGATATTTTAATGTTGATTTGTCAATTGTTTTTACAAGGGGTAATTTTTCAATTTTTTGTCCACAGATTACATACTAGATGTACTTCTGTATTTTTTGTGTTAAATTAAAAATAACGCTAGCCTTTTTACTTTTTCCCTTATCTTATCGTTCAAGGTATGAACCCAACACACTATCCGATACCCCAGGGTACCGGACGCCCTGTCTCGGGTTACTCGAAACCTGATATTTACCCCAAATGTGTTTACAACTTAAATCAAATGCTGCGGAGTTTGGGCACGATATCTAGGGATCAAAAGGGTTTAGGGATGTAGCAGCGGATTTGAATCGATATAATAATAACGTTTGATATGGAGGAATAGAAAGATATCGGGGATTTACAGGAAGGTAGATTTACATTTTCTCGACCCGAACCCGATTCGAAGAAAAGTTTGAGAAGCCGACACAACTTTTTTCTCAACCGTGGCACCCCTGATATGTACAACCTTTACTCGATTGGAGCCGATTTAATCATTTTTTATTTAAAAGAAACCAAAAATTAAAAGGAATTTTAGAAAAATAAAAAAAAAGGAGAAAACAAACTAAACTATTAAATAAATAATTTCTATAATTTAGTTTTATATACTTGATACAGAATGGAATGGAATTGTTATTTTACCTAACGGAATTTTGCTTGATTTTATGAAGGAAAATTTTGATCCATTTATTTGTTATATTGTTTTTATATTTTGGCTATATATTTCTAATGTAAATTTACATGGATTGTGTGTTCAATTTATTTATAGATATTTAGTTTTGAATAGGTAAATAAATAAAAAATAATTAAAAACTTTAGTATATGTTTAGTGCATATACTAAAGTTAATGCATGAGATTCCCAACAGCTTTTATTTTAACGAAAATTAACGTAAAATATACCAAATTTGCGGGCAAAAATGGAAGAAATCTGACTTTTGGCCTTCCAATCGCTCTGATCCTCTTAATTCCCACAATTCCTCGAAAATCTTAACCCTTTGCATCCCTAATACACACCCTCCTTGTCCATGTTTCTAAACCTTTACTAACCTCTTATTATTGTTTTAGAAATATGAAGATTAGCTTTCGTCGTTATCTATTTATGTTGTCCATTGCTTTGTTTGTGCAATTATTTCATATTTTGGATGTAATTTTCTTTTTACTTCCATATTCTAATGGAAGTATTAAATATTTTGATAATATCAACAAAACATTGCCATTTATTCAATTTAAAATGGATAAGGTTAATTTTAAAATAAATTTATATTTTGAACTTAAAAAAGATGAATGATTTTTCACTTTCGCTTATTGTATTTATTGAAATATTAGCATATTTAATAATATTTATTTGTGGATTCAAAATGGTTAGATATGTCAATTTAAACACTAATTTTGATGGAAATTTAAAAAGACTGAATAAACTTTTAACAAAAGTTTTGATTATTTTGGTAAGAAAAAATGGCTGTAGTGTATGTAGTATACCGGTGGTAAAAGTTCGGGACGTGACATATGTCATTCGATTCGTCTCGACGAGCTGAGTCGATACGAAAGAGCTTCATTCGAAAGAGCTCGTCGAGTTGATTCGAATGACACCAAAATTAACGAAATCCGACTTGATTTAACAAAGTTATGGA